GATGTCAGAGTTCTCTAATGCGCTAAGGCTGGTTCTCTAATGCTCACTAGACTCCACCTTTCTGGCCATGAAGAGTGCAGCTGTTCCAGATGCTGGGCCTTCACAAGGAAGCCCAGAGCCATGAAGTCCTCAGCTTCTCGTATCTCTTTTTATCAGGAGGAAACCTTTTCTAGAGTCACCTGAATTCTCCTCTAGTCTGAATGACTTTACTTACTCTTTTACTGACTCTTGTCTAGCCCAATCTCTGGCGAAATGACTGTCCTTGTTATGATTAGCCCTCAGATGAATCAACATTCACCCCACAAAGTGGCAGGAGAACAGGAGAGGGTAAAAACCAGAATAATATTGGTACACCATCCCCAAGGGAAAGCCAGAGAACGGGTATTGGGTGGGCAACGGAAAGGGCCTCTATTTACCAAGAAGCATCTAAGGAAAACTTTAGAGGGAAAAAAATTCTAAACGATATAAAAAAAGGAGGAAGGTAGAAAATAAAATAATTACACAGATGCTAATTTTGACATTTCTTTCTAAGATCTGCAAATAAACATGAATAGTTCATTTCAGACTTTGCTTTTTCTCTATTCCCTTAACCATCTCTTCATTTTCTTCTCCTTATGAGAGTTTCTTTAACTGAGTCGAGGCTCATAATTCCCCTGTTCTATGTAATCAGCATATCAGTACTATCCCAAGGTAGAGCTCTGTACCTCTACTTCCCTCTGATCCCTCCTCTGTAATGATATCTAGACTAAGAAAGTTTATTTGGTAGATCGACATTATCAATCAATGAATAAGTGTATTTAAGTGCCTGATCATGCCTAAACAAAGTGTTTTTCTGGGTTGTAATCCAGCAATATTTAAGGGCTTCTATGTGTGTTGTTTGTCCTCTAAATCAAAGAACATATAAACTATTAAACTACTTACTGAAATTACTAAATATGATTAGTCCAGAATTCAACTGCTATAATTCATAGTTTATAGGGCAAAAGAAGGTAACTGCTGTGTCTGCTTTACTAAAATGAACAAACTTAGTGGTACAAAATGTTCATGGCAAATAAAACCCTATTATTGAAAATTCAATTGCTATTTGTGACCGCCTGATAATTTCAGTTTACAAAGTTGAGTATTATGTTCATGATATTCATTTAGAGGAAACCAAAGTTGCATTAAATTTCTTCCCGAATACTTATTTTAAAATTTGTCCCAGGCCTATGCTTTCCTACTGAGTTTCCTTCATTTCAAAGCACCACTTAAAAACAGAGATAGAAATACTCTTTCCAAGAAAATTACATAGGTTGATTTGAGATTTTTATGCATGAATATATCTTTGGGGAAAGAAAATAATAAAAATAGAAAAAAATACATGAAGAAATGAGCCACTCTTGGCCATTTCCCCCCAAATATATATAATCCTCACCCAAGGGTATGTTTTTATTGATTTTTTTTTGGAGAGAGAAGAAGGGAGAGAGACAGAGAGAAACATCAAGTGAGAGAGAAACATTGATGTGAGAGAGAAACATTGATCGGCAGCCTCCCGTATGCTCCCTGACTGGGATAGAACCCACAACCTAGGTATGTGCCCTGGCCGAAATCTAATCTGCAGCCTTTTTGGTGTATAGGACAATGTTCCAACCACCTGAGCAACCCAGCCAGGGCATTCCCCCAAATATATTAATTATATATACCTCAGGTGATATCATTCCATGAAAGATTTATGTTTTGAATAAATCATTTTTCTATTTTTTTAAAAATATATTTCAATAGATTTGGAATTTAGAGCTTCTGATGGGAGTAAGGCTGGAACTTAAAGAAGCTGCTGGAAGTCTACCAGGATCTTTTCAGTGGCCACAGCTTCTAATGGAGCACCAATATTCAGCCCCTAAGTGCTTCTCAACCTGGGCACTGTCATTTTACAGCAGATCATTCTTTGTCGTGGGAGGCTGCCCTGTTCACTGTAAGATGCTTACAGCACCCTTGGCCTTCCCTACCAGATGCCAATAGTGTCCCGCTTCCCAAGTTGTGACAACCAGCAGTATCTACAGACACTGCCAAATGTCCCCAAGGTGCAAAACTAAAACCACCTCTCTCCTTACCATTTCAGCACATTTAGAACCATTACCTTAAATCAAAAAACAGGATTTTCCCTGTCATTTGTGATAATACAGGTGGACTCTGATGGCCTTATGCTAAATAAAATAATCCAGACAGAGAAAGGCAAATATTGCATGGTATCACTTATACTGGAATCTAAAAAAAAGTCAAACCTATAAAAACAGAGAGTAGAAAAGTGAGAGTCAGGGGCTAGTGAGGTGGGAGGAAATAGGAGAGGGTGTGGTAAAAGGGTACAAACTTTTCCTTCTAAGATCAACAACAGCAACAATAAAAAATGAGATTTTCAGTGATTCAATATGGTGTGAAGTTGTTACAATTTTTCTTCTAGAGTTTACATTCACATTTTATTAACCTAAAAATAGATGTACTGGTATTTATTAAGGTTCATTAATTAAAACAATACAAAGTTCAAAGTTGTTTCTAGCTATTAATGTCATTTTTTTAATGGAAAAGGTTGCAGCAAAGATATCCAATTGTTTTAACTATCTTCTTTGAAAACAAAAACAACAAAATTCATCTATCCTTGTCATATTGAAAATGGCAACAATTAGGCATTAAAATAATTAACTGAATCTAAAAGCACAAAATAGTATAATCAAAGACATTAAACACCAAGCCTAAATTGGCTGCGCAGAGTTTTCACTCAAGAATATCATCAGTTTCTCAACAAGAAATGAATACTCATCTAACGTTTTCTAAATTCACAGTACACATTTCCTCATGGACACTGTGGTTAATATAGAGAGAAAATTTAAAGAAAAAACACACTACACATCACCACAGGACAATAATTCACATATTTGATTTCTTGTTTAGCTTTGGGGTCTTGAGGTGTTATAAATATCATGACCTGTTGGGGAGATTTTTGTTTTTTGTCCCTGCAAATCTAATGATAAAATTGTAGAGCTTGGCCAGCTGTTTTGGGCTATTTATTGCATCAGAAAGAGGGAACACACAGCTGCAGATCAACCAGGAAGGCAGGGAAGAGCCTGAGATCTGCTCTGCGAGGCAACAGTAAGCCAGAGGAGAAACTGAAAGCTGTTCCTCGGCAAAAAGCAGCTAGGAAATTGGATGAGAGATGGGAAAAGTCAAGAGGTAAATTACCCTGAGGAGTGTTTCTTACATTTAATGTGCTTAGCAATCACCTGGGGACCATGTTAAAGTGCAGATTCTGACTCAGAAAGCCTGGTGTGAGACCTGCGAGTTTCATTTCTCAGAACCTCCCAGGTGTGGACGCTGCTAGCTGATCCAGGCACCCCGCTTTGTGTGGCGAGGTCCTAGGATGCTCCATCCCCCAACATGTCTCTGGAAGAAGTGCCAACTTTGTTTCATCTCAAAGTCTATGAGATTAACAAAGTAAAATGAACACATTTCCCAAAATTGTCAGTATAGAGAAATGTGCCTTGTTTTCTTTATGTCATAAAATAAAAACAAAGATACACCATTTGTTACTTTGATATACAAGTTAATTTCTGGTTGTTTTAAAAAATACACATATAAGTACCTATTGGTAAAATAACACTATGGTTTTGGCTTTTTGTACATCCTTAAGCAGCAGGTTTCTATGGTATGTTATCTGATAGAGCAATAAACTCAAATTTCTAAAATCAGAATTAAAGTTAGGTTTGACTTTTAGGCGATTAGTTTCAAACGAGTTTTCCAGTTCAACCCTGAGTTTTGGTTCACTCTTGATGACAACCCAGGATGCGCTTTTATCCTAATCATTAGAGTCCTTTTACACCTATGGGAAAACCAAATCCTGGCTTCCTTCAGCGTTTCCCTTCTGAAGCAACTAACCGTGGCCTGATTATGTGATAGGTTTTGGCATCGTGTCAATGTCAAGGTGTACCAGGAGGAAAAGCAGATTCAAAGATGACAGATAGATGAAGTATCCTTGATGCAAAACATCCGCTGGTGAAAAAGTTGATAGTACCATAAAAATTAGTGTGTTTAGACACAAAAGTCTAAAGACCAAACACCAATACTAAGTGGCAGTAATTACAGCCACTTGGAAAAGAGGACCAGTGTAGAAGGAAATTGAATGCATAAATTTGTTCCTATCAAATATTTCAAAGTAACACTTTGCATTTTCTACAGGGTATAGTTGGAGGGGGGGAAAAAGGACATGTTTAGGCATTTATTACACCATTTTGTAGGAACAAGAATTTTCCAAATGTATGCCTCTCTTTTTTTCCTGGAAAAGATCAAAAGGAAAATTTTCTCACACAAAAGGCTCATTATAAGCATTCAGGCCACCAAGATGCCACACACCTCAGTAATCTGTGTCTGGCCGGTAAAATACTAAAGATATGTAAAAAGTTTAAAATGTAACGGCATCCAGATTTTTTCTTAATGAAGTACCCAGCTTTAAACTGATCTAGACAAGTTGCTAATATTTTGACCAAAGAAATTACGGCAACACAAGTTTACACTGTTGATGAATACACCCTACGCTACTTGGAACGGTTGCCAACGTTTACTTTACCTCTACAGCTCTGGAGACTACTCTCTGCACATATACACTTTCTAGATTGCTTAAAACTTATAGTGTCTTCTCAGGTCACTCACTTATTCCAATCACATCACAAAACATGTTAGATGGTCACACCTAGATCATCTGCATGATGCTAAAAATAATTAAACTTTAATTAGCACATTCAAGCCATTGATAAACTCAGAAGGAAAAAACTACTTTATGTACTTTCAAAATTCTCAATAGTTCCACTGGACAAAAATATTAGGCTCTCTTTGTCCACGTATTAAGAACACTGATAAATGTGTCACCAGAAGTCCAGGAGTTTGCTTTGGAGAACATACCAATAGATCTTCCTGCTCTCTAAGAGTGACAATGGACAGAACCATGTTCCTTTTCAATACTTTACTGAACTCACCCCATGTGATGGGTTAGAGATCCAGCCCAGCTCCCCTTGAATTGTTTTTGAATCCAGCAGATTAACTAAAAGAAAACACAAATACACAAACACTGTTAAGAGGAATGAATTCTTTCTAAATGCCTTTTTCAAGTTAATGTTGTCTGTTGTTGGTGGCAATATAAAAATATCAACATATTCAAATCACACAATGCTTCATTTTCATTAGTCCTGTAAGGTATAAGAATTATAAGAAGACAGTTACAAAGAAAAGCAACCACAGGGAAAGTTAAGGGATCAAAAGTTTCTGTGGCTTTTGTAACCCTTCATGTCTGTTTCCAAAGATAGGTTAACTTTCAACACAGTGATCATCATTTTTTACAGAATAATGGCAGGTTTAAAGAGGAAACAGTCAAAACACAAAATAGAAAACAAAATTAATGCTAGCACGAAATCAAAATAACTTTAAAGACCATTAAATTTGATAAAGTTACATGATTTCACTCTAATTCCTTATATATGCTCCCATAATGAATCAATATTTGCTTGTATATTTAATATAGCATCTTCATATTGTCCCTGACCAATCCCAAACATATTCTATAATGTGTATTTTTTTTAACCCTCACCCAAAGGTATGTTTTTATTGACTTTTAGACAGAGGGGAAGGGGGAGAGTGGAAGAGAGAGAGAGAGATTGGTGTGAGAAACACAGATGGGTTGCCTCCTGCAAGTGCCCCGCTGGGGATGGAAGCAGAAACCTAGGCATGTGCCTGACTGGGAGCCGAACCACGGCAGGTCTGGGGTACAGGACCATGCCCCCGCCTCCTGAACCACCCAGCCAGGGGCTCAATGGATATTTTTATACTGTATAAATTATCTCCGTATGTGTAACAAAATGCTTAGCAACTAATTTGAGGAGAAACCGAAGCAAAACTATGTTTTATAATATTGTTTGTGTAAAACTTTATGTGTTTAAAGAAAATATTGTTACCCAAAGGCTTTACTGATTTTACTCAGAACTTTGTTACTTATTAAAAAGTCTGATGTTGATGAATAATAAGATATAATAAGAATGTGGTTGCATTTTGGATACATTATTGAAAGAGAAAGACAAATGCTTTGTTTTCAACTCAGATAATATTAATTTGTAAGGGATTATAAATTAATATATAACAATATACTTCTGGTTTAAATAATAATAAACGTCTCACTTTTATTGTTGATCTCTCAAATAATGGAAACTCTGGTTTCACAGCATCTTCCTTCTAAATTAGAAAACAATCTCACTGTCAACTGATGGAAGATGTAAAGGAAGTTTACATAAAATATACATGTATTACTAACATGAACTAGGTCAGGTGAGTAAGTAACTACAATAAGAGAGATTCATTTCCAAGGATTCCTTATATTCACGAAGCAAAACATAATGTTAATACACTCATGTGCACATCCATGTGTTGACAATAGTGTTTCCTGATGCAGAAAAAGCTCCTCCCTGTTTTTAATCATGCCAATTAGTTTTACAAGGAGAACATTAATCTTACAATATGTTAAGAAAAAGAAATAATATATTTAAAAGATATTAAAATTCTAAATTTTCAGGAGCTGCTTTTTAAAGGAAGATATTTGGTTAGCTGGTTCGATAATACATTAGGTGAGTATAAGAAAGCCTCCTGATTATTCAGTTAAAAATATATTAAAATTCTCAAAGTTAAATTTTCTAAGTTTTGGTAGCAAAAGAAAAGCACACAAACTTAACCTATTACACTGGAATTCCTTATGATTAAATATTTTTTCCTCCCTATAAATTAATCTCAATGATAAGTAATTATATTTGGATAAGAGAAGAATATGCTGCATGAATCACACAGTGTAATTTCCATAATGAAATTATTTCCCAGGATACCAGTTTGAAAATTAATAGTACAATTAATTATATTAAAATTGTCTCTCAAAAATTATTTTCAAAAACCTCTACTTATTAATGAATTTACAGGTATTTTAAGAAATTTTTGAAAATATGAGAATACAGTCTCATGAACTACCAACACTTATTCTGATAAATACCTAGTTTAATTGTTGGTTCTGTCAGTCATCGGTGGATTTCCCTGATTTACATAGGATTTATATAGTAGAATTTACAATGCCAATATTCATAAATTAGTAGGTCATATTTGCAATGTCTTTAGGGCTTCAAATGGCTCAGTGTATTCTTGTGTGTGTGTAATAATTGAGTATGTACTTAGTGATGAATATGTGTCACTCCACATACTGAGATGAATGGCTGATTTAATTTCAATATTAGTAACCAGAGGGGGAAAAAATTCTTAGGTAAAAAAATATATATATGAGTATTGTCTCAGTTTAGTAAATTACTCATTGGAATGTAGATTGCTAACTAAAAAACTAAATACACTGAAGTTTTTTTTCCTGATGATAATGAATGATTAGGGAAAAAGGACTGGACTAATCACATCAGCATTTGATTTCTACTTAAAGNGGGGGAAAAAATTCTTAGGTAAAAAAATATATATATGAGTATTGTCTCAGTTTAGTAAATTACTCATTGGAATGTAGATTGCTAACTAAAAAACTAAATACGCTGAAGTTTTTTTTCCTGATGATAATGAATGATTAGGGAAAAAGGGCTGGACTAATCACATCAGCATTTGATTTCTACTTAAAGAAATAACTTAACCAAAAAGAACTGTATTGCACCGTCAATTAAAAATAAGTGTAATAGATTAACTAAATGTATTGCATTTACTCAGAAATTGAATTTTTATTGCATTCCATTTTCATGAATGAGAAAAACAATTGCCAGCATTACTCATGACTCTGATTCTGTGTCTATCGAACATAATTTTTTATCAGCCCTGGTTATCTCACAATGTTGCTGTAGGATAATCACATAATATAAACGTATTTAAAGCCACTGACTTTATAACATGCTATACAGATCTAGTGTTCTTGTAAAATTAACTTATTAACTGCAGTTCCATTCTGGCTTCTGAATTGTATTTATAATCAGCAATCTGTATATGACCTAATAGCACAGAACAGTGGCATCAGAACAATTTTTTAAAAGCACCTATTTTGAGTTTATAAGGTACCTTTTGTTTATAGCCAAATAAGAACAATACAATCTAAAATTCTAGCTACTTTAAAGTGAATTATTGCTGAACTGGGAGTTTCAAGGGTAAAGACCCCTAGGCTCCTGTGATCTGTTGCACTGCAGTATGGGTGGAGCGTAATTGAGATAAAAAGAAGGGACAGTTAATGGAATTTGAAGGTCTCCTGTTGTGAGCGATTTCTCTGGATACTTGACTGAATCTCACACTGCAACACAACATCTTAAACCCTACACTAATACAGGCAAGAACTTTGGTTTTGTATTGATGCTTTTCTTTCCTAAAAAAGATGTAGACCTGAGCATAATCGTTCAAGCGGTATTACTGTTCATCTGCCAGGGCGGATGGAAGAGGCAGGTAGAACTGTGCTGTGTAAGTGCTACATGGGAGTCTGAGTTTTAACGACAATTTACAATAGGGAAGGTTATTTCCAACGTCTAAAAAATTTAAGTTTATAATTATGAATGCTAACAAAAAAGAGAGGAAATTATTTTTAAGGGTAGGTGGAGTACAAGGATAGCTTAATTCCTTAATAACGGCCTCATTTGCAAAAGGTAAACTGTCCCTTACTCAATTTCATATTCTAATCATGTGATTTCCAGTTTCTTTGGTTTATAACCAGAAACACATCATTTCATTAAGTTAAGAATATGTTCTATTTGAAGAGTTATGTAGTATGCATTACCTGTTTAATTGATTTTAGGGAGAGAAATGAAGGGACGGAGACAGGATGAGAGAGAGAGAGAGAGAGAGAGAGCGAGAGAGAGAGCGAGAGCCATTGATTTGTGGTTCCACTTATTAATGCATTCATTGGTTGATCCTTGTATGTGCCCTGAGTGGGATCAAACCATATGGGGAAGACACTCTAACCAATTGAGTTACCCAGCCATGGCCTACTTAACTTCTTAAATTAAAGTTATTTAAATTGGACATGTTTTTAAATGCCATAACTCTATTTAAACTGACATAAAAGTAGGTGCTTTTTGGAAAAACTGCTTTTGGAAATGACTGTCCAAAGCCTGAATGGATATGGTTCTGGTGTCTCTCACACACTGTACCTTGTCTAGTCTTACTGCTGTTAAATAGAAAAGACAGATGAGTAGGTGAATGGCACATTCATGAAAATGCTAAGGAAGCGCTTAGGCTCCTTGGCTGGCTCTCAGATGAGCCCTAACAGGAGCTTTGCTGGACAGAAGGAAGCGTGGAGCCCGGTGGGAATGAGATGGTGCAGGAAGGAGTGGAGAAAGGGCGAGGTGCAGAGAAAACCTGCTCGAAGCGGTTTGTAAGGACTTCTGGAAAGGAGGGAACCTCGCTGCCCCCGATCTTTGCTGTCACTTTTCTCACTTCGCTGGACTGTGGATTTAAGATGCCCAGGAGCATTGTTTTCCCTTTTCTATCCTCCACCATAATGGAGCCATCCAATCAAATGTCCACTCCACTCATTTGCCTGGACAATGTAATAATTATGTATACCAAGAATTTATATCACCTTCCTTTCTTACTATAAAAATCTAATCATATTTTTAAAGGACACAGTTATTAACATAATTGTGTGAAGCAAATGTTCCCAGTTAATGAGGGCGGATTAAAAACTGTAGGTATAAATTTCTAAAGTTCTCACTCTTAGAGAACCATTAACACTCCTAGATTTTTCTGAACACTATTTTAAAGCTTTGCTTCATAGGGACTATTTGTCCACTTAGAAAGACTGAGAGTGAAATATCTTATAGATGAAGCGCTGCAAATATGCAGAGAGTGCTAAAATAATTTTAAAAATTAAATGCCACAACTTCTTACTGAAGTGGAAGGCTTTTCAATTACCTGATAACATATCAATATGCTTTGTGGTAATGCTATGGGTGTATTTTATGAAAATATTAAGTTATAAAAAATTATCGAACAATCATTTCAAGATGAACGATAGGGTTTAATGGATAAAGAAGTTCCGACTCTTACAATAAATATTTATTTTCTTATA